TTTGCTTACTTCTAAAATGGGGGAACTTCCTGTGGGAACCAGTACTTGAGCTGTGTGATTGAGCTAAATTGCTGCTTTGCTGCTTTGCTGCTGTTTCCCTAGGGAAGGCTTTTTGTGCAGCTCAGGGTTTAGTGGCTGATCTTATAGGTACTTCCAGCTCTCCAGAGACCTGGTAGATCTGGGTTGTATAGAATCTCTGATCTGGGCCTAAGTTTTTTCATCAAACTGCACCCCATGCAATTCTGCATTCCCAACCAGTCCCCTCTGAGTGGTCCTATGCTGATTGGGGGGCAGACCAGCTGTCCTTGCTGTGTCCCAGTGTTCTCCTGGTGGGCCCATCTTCCCCACTGCCCATGCTCCAGACAGTTCCCATTGGACGGGCCCAGCACCGGTCCCTTGCAATGACTCACCAGCCTCTGAATGGCTCCCTTTTTTCAGCTGTTCTGGCTCCTCACTCCTGCGTGGGTCCACGGGAACCCTACTAGTGGTCTTGCTGTCCTGGGGACACACACGCCTGAGAGCTAGGCAGTCCAAAGAGAAACTCAAAACTCAACTGCTACTGGCAAAGTCTAAAGAAAAATTGAGCAGCTGCCAGCAAAGTAAACATGCTCTCTTTTTTTAGATGCAAGCTCTCTGCCAGCCAGCAGTTCAGGGCCGCGGCTTCACACACTCTCAAGAACACAAGAATAGCAACAAAACTAAAAAGATACATTGGTGTGCATGTGCACTAACTCCACCCATGCGCACTTTGTTTACAAAGAATGTGCTGCACCACACCCAACTGGACCCAAGGTGAGGGGTCCTGACCAAATTATTCTATTTTTCCAACACTGTTCTTGCAGTTTCTCAAATGTCACTTATTGGTAGTTATACAATCACATTTGTTAACCCAAGATGTATAATTTGCCAGGATCTGAAGACTTGGATTTATTGAAATGCCTGTATATTTTCTTAACATGCCTATCTTGAGTTTTGCAGCCTGCCTAACCTGGTTTCTTCCACACTCGCTGTTTGACAGTCATTGCCTGTAACAGGGAAAATGAAGTTAAGCAGGTCTACATCCTGTTATTTCAGTGTGTACCAAGCGCTTGAAGCAGTTAACGTTTCTTCCCTGCTTTTTCCTGTTCATAGCCTAAAAAGGCTTTGTTTTTCCTTAACATATTTCACACACCTTGTGGGCTTTTACCCTTTCTAGCCTCACAAATTTGTGGTACTATTTTTATGTGCCTTACTAGTTAGTACATCTTGTATGTGTCCTATTTACGGTGGTCAGAGAACTCCTTGGGTCACCAAATTGCTTTTTTTCCCTCACAAAGGGAGCCCAAGTCATCATAGCCATTGGGGACAGCTGCTGTTTTCACAAGTGAGAATCCTGGTTTCCCTCTCATCAGCCACCAAGTTTAGTCCCTTGTCATGGAGGATATCTTCATAGGTACCTTAGCAAACTTCAGCAACTTCTCACGAAAGTGCTGTTGACCACCTGAACACAAACTTCATTGTCGGACCTCAGCACTAGAGCTTTCAGAAGGTCCTTTTCAGTGTTGAGGCTACTTAACACTGAAATCCCCCCACCCCCCACCCCGTATCTCATTCCTGCATTCTAGCATCATCTGCCAACATTGTCCAAATTATAGCTCCCTTCCTGCAGTTCCATTCTGCAAACATTAAGCAAGCACTTATTTATTATGCACCGGGCTCTGTGCTGGGCATTGGCGCTGGATAAAACACAGTGCCTGCTCTTTTCCACATCATTGTCCCCGTATTGCTCCAGATAGCTTCACCTTGACGCCTCATTACCTCCCTGACAGCTTTTCTGCAGTGATTTGAAACCCATGCCCCGTGGTACATTGTAGGGAAAGTGCAGGAAAATGGTCAGGGCCCATCAGATGTTCAGAATCTTGCTGAGCATTTGATGTAAATATGCACGTGCACCCAGGTGTTCCTTGGTTATTGTCTAATTGCGCATGTGCAACCAGGTGTTCTGGGTTATGGGCTTAAGTATAAAGGACAAATGGCTCTGATCCACAGTGCCCCCGCCCTTTGGATGCTCCTGGGGGGCCACGGGGAGGCTGGTACTGCTGCTGGAGGGTGTTGCTGCCAGGGCCCCCGGGACCCTCTGAGAGGTCGCTGCTACTGCTGAAGAAACTGAAGACTGAGCTCGTGTCATCTGCCAATGGCTCCCGGGATCTTTCCAAATTACCTAGCTCGTGGACCTGCATGTGAGGCGTCTGCTGACCCAGCCAGGTGTGTGAAGGGTCTGGTGACTCTGCCTGTACAACGGGTTTGAAGGGTCTGTGATCCCTACCCTGACAAAACAATTGGCTACGTTGGCAGGAGTCCAACAGTAACCCCTACCAGACAATTAGTGTAGCTATTGCTGTAACCAGACAATCGGTGTAGTCAAGCAGGATTCTGGGAAGGTAAAAGAGCCCAGCAATTGTCGTCATGGGTAGGATGCCAAGCAGGTAAAGAAGCAGAAAGCCCCTTGGGAGGGAGAGATGTGGCTACCCTTGAGTGCGTGGTGCTCAGTAGCCACTTTCTTGTTGACCGGAGTCTGGCTGTTGCTGGCTGTACTGCAAGCCAACATGGACCAGAAGCCCCATGAAGCAGCACAGTTTTGAGATTTGTAGCAGAAAGCAAACAGGTTGAAAACGCAATACGTGTCCCGGAGGCTGAAGTACAGCAACAGGTCATTCCTGCTTCCTATACCTGGGACGATGACAAACCCGATGGTGAGCATGGGGGGACTGTGCATCTTCTGGAATGACCTGTTGCTTATCAGAAAGTGAAGCATGAGCAGCCTATGGGACCAGGCGGACCTGTAGGCAACCCTCAGGTGACCCAGTTCACTATTATGTCCCATATACCCTGGTCAAATTGGTTGGCTTGGGGAAATAGTAAAGCGGCAGAAACAGGGAGAGCTCCTGGCTGCTGCAGTTATGGGAGTTAGGGGTGGATGGTGTAACGTGCTCGAGACGATGTAGTAAATGCATGTGACGTTTGTCTGACATGCAGATGGCTCACCGGGTGCCACTTAAACCTGAGAAGGCTTGGAGGGTGCCACATAAACCCGAGAAACTCAACGGCTTGCAGGGTGTCACTTAAACCCGATGGTTCACCTGGTGCCATATAAACCCGAGAAAGCAGATGGCTTGCTGGGTGCCAAGAGTGCCGATGCAAATGGGCTGATGACCCGAAGACAGGTGCCCCTGCAGAATTTCAAGTATGTCTTCAGCTGGTAAAGTTTGCCTCCATTACCACGTGCCTGTGCAGTGGTTACAGAATAGCCGCAGATATGCACAGGGGCAGGGCAGCCACTCCTTGATGGAGTGGGTGAATGCAGCTGTTCGGGCTGTGTGGGCAGAACACTGGAGAACTGCCTGAGACTGAGTGAATGGTGGGCGTATGCTGAGCTGATTGAAGTAATTCAGGAGCCTGGGGATGGGGCAGCTAGATGCTAATAGCCAACATAATGGGAGAAAGGCCTTGAGGGCACTTCAGAAGTTTGGGAGAGCACCCCTCCCATCACAGCCCCCAGGCCTAGGAGAACTGAGTTTTTCCGGAGGGCAGATCTGAGGCATCATTGCCCTTGGCAAACTGCTCTCTGCACTCCAGCTGCTCTGGCTGGAGCAACCCTGCCCCAGCAGCTCTGGAGAGCACGTCATGTTAAGTTTTGTAGGCCGAACTTGAGAGCAGTGGAGGTGTGGTAGCCTCCACCCAGATTTCAGAAGATGTATGAAAAAGCCGGGGGACTCAGGCAGAGACCTGCTGAAGGGGTGGAGCCGCTGCAGAGGTCCTCTGTGGAGCAATGTGGAGCAGGAAAGTGGGGCTGGAGGGCCGGCCCATGGCTCACTTGGGAGAGTGTGATGCTGATAACACCAAGGCCAACGGGTTCGGGTCCCTATATAGGGATGGCTGGTGTAAAGTAAGGCAAATAATAACTAAAGCCAAAATGTTTCATTATTTTAGTTATACTAAGTTTCCATTTATATTGTCAGAGCTAGGACTCAGACCCTCCAAACCCATTGTATAGACTGGGTCACCAGACCCCTCACATGCCAGGCTGGGTCCCCAGATCCCTCACACGCAGGTCCATGCTAGGTAATTGGGAAAGATTCCAGGAGCTGTTGGCAGATGACATGAACTCAGTCCCCAGCTTCCTCAGCAGCATCAGCTTACAGGTCCAGTAGCTTACAGGTCCAGCAGTGGCAGTGGCCTTACAGGGGGTCCCAGGGGCACTAACAGCAGCAGCCTCCAGCAGCAGTAGTAGTGGCCTCTCCATTCCCCACCCCCCACAGGGGGTCATCCCGGGGCTGGGAGGCACCGTGGACCAGAGCCACTCAACCTTATAAAGTCCAAAACCCAGGACACCTGGGTGCACATGTGCACTTACACTAGACCATAACCAAGGAATACCTGAGCGCATATGCCTATTTACATCAAATGCTCAGCAAGATTCTAAACATGTGAGGGGCCCTGACCATTTTTCCTATATTTCCCAACAGCCGGTTAGCTCACTTGGGAGACCGTGGTGCTGACAACACCGAGTCAAGGGTTAAAATCCCCTTACCAGTCATCTTTTAAAAAAAAAAAGAAAGAAAAGTGGGGTTGGGGCCCCACAGAGATCCCCCACTGGGGGAATGTCTAGTGGAGTCAGGATGGCGGGACTGCCGCCAGGAACCCAGAACTGTGAGGCTGTTGGCAACTTGGAACAGCCTGGAAAAGCTGCAGGCATCAGGGCAGCTCAATGGGCTGCACCTGGTGGAGCTGTAGGAGTGAGGTTGCCCAATGCTTTGGGAACCCAGATGCCTCAGTGTGCTTAATGTCTGCCCTGGTGGGTTTCGGATTTGTTTGGGGCCTGTTTTTCCTTTCTTGTCTGTTCCTCCCTTTTAGAATGGGAATGTGTACCCAATGTCTGTCCCACCACTGTGTCTTGGAAGTAGATAAACTTGTTTTTGATTTTTTGCAGGTACTCAGCTGAAAGGAGTTTTGTCTTTACTCTCAGATGAGACTTTGGACTTTTGAGTTGGTGCTGGAACAAGGTAAAGGCTGTTGGGATGGAATATGTAATATGTGAATGCAAGGGTCAGTTATCCTCACTAAGGGAACACTGTGGAAGATTCTGAATGCACAGACTGTACAGCGAGGGACCCTGAAGGGGTAGATTGTAGGGAAAATATAGGAAAATGGTCAGGGCCCCTCAGATGTTCAGAATTTTGCAAAGCATTTGATGTAAATATACATGTGTGCTCAGGTGTTACTTGGTCATTGTCTGATGTAATTGTGCATGTGCACTTAGGTGTCTTGTGTCTTGGGTTATGGACTTAAGTATAAAGGACGAGTGGCTCTGATCCATGGTACCCCTTCCCCCGCCCCTGGGATACTCCTTGGGGGGTCACGGGGAGGCCATTAGTGCTGCTGGAGGCTGTTGCTGCAAGCTGTTGCTGCCAGGGTCCCTGGGACCCTCGGAGAGGCCACTGCTGCTTCTGCTGTGGCTGCTGAAGAAGCTGAGGACTGAGCTTATGTCATCTGCCAACGGCTCCTGTGATCTTTCCCAGTTACCTAGCTCGTGGACCTGCGTGTGAGGGGTCTGGTGACTGTACAACGAGTTTGAAGGATCTGTGAGCCCTAGCCCAACAAGTCAATTGGCTACGTTGGCAGGAGTCCAACAATAACCCCAACCAGACAATTAGCGTAGCTATTGCTGTAACCAGACGTAAATGAACTGTCTTTTGTCCACAGTCACTTCATAGAATGTGCCTTCTACCCATTTGCTGACACTTCTTGAGAATTTCCTTTTTCTCACACCCGCAGGTTTTTCAGCTTTGACATGTGTGTTAGTTTCTTACTGCTGCCGTTAACACATTGCCACAAATTTAATGGGTTAATACGGTGCCAATTTATTACCTTACAGTTCTGTAGAATAGAAGTCCGACACATGTATCACTGGGCTAAAATCAAAGTGTCAGCAGAGTTGTGTTCCTTTTGGAGGCTTTAAGGGGAGAATCTGTTTCCTTGTGCTCTGCAGCTTCTAGAAGCTTCCTGCATTCCTTGGCTGTGGCCCCTTCATTTTCAAAGCCATCAATGTTGCATCTCTCTGACCATCCTTCCATAGTCAGATTTCCCCTTGACTTCCCTCTTTGATCCTTCTAATTGCATTGGGCCCACCTGGATGATCCAGGATAATCTCCCTATTTTAAGGTCAGCTGATGAGCAACCGTATTTCCTCTTTGCCACGAACCCTAACATATTCACAGGTTCTGGAGATAGGATGTGGACATCTTGGGAGAGGGGGCATTGCTTGTTCACCTTTGCCAGACATTTGGAAACCATCCTAAAATCTTCCCTTTTTCTCAGTGTAATCTATCCCCAAGTTCTGGGTAGCTCCCTCCTCAGCACCTCCAGACTTAGCCTTCCCTGGTGTTGCCCCAAGGTCCCTTATTTAAGGTGGTGGGAAAACTGAGCAGACATACAGTCATGCCAACACAGGCACTTCAACCATAGTGGTTGCTTTATTTGTATTATTTGTATTAGATATTGGAATTCTAAGTAATACGTGCTCTGTGGGTGGAGGGAAGGTGGAGGAGGTTGCAAAACTTTTATATATAAAAAAAAAAGTTTGGAATCATTGATCTGGAGCCGCAGTGTCCAATACTGTAGCCACTAGCCACATGTGGCAATTTGTGTTTAAATTAATTAAAATTAAAAAAAAAATTTTAATTCAGTTGCACAATCATACTAGCCACATTTTAAATTGCCATATCAGTGCAGAAAGTTCAATATATTGGACAGTGCCGAATTTATGAGTGTGCCTCACCTTGGCCCGATACCCAGCGTGTAGTAAGCCTTCAAGTATTTGCTAAATGATTACAGGCGTTCCCTTCCAGAGACAATGGGGTTATTTTCTCCCAGGGTTTTCAGTTCTTCCACTTTACCTGTCAGTTTTTCCTTGGCAGAATTGAATGGAGAGTTACAGCCCTTCTTGTGTCTTCAGCTGTTTACGAAATCAAATTGTTGGCAGCTCAAGTCAAGGACAGAATGTATATAAAGCAAGCTCTGTCTCTTCTTCTGCCCAGCTGGGTAGTTTGTAACAAAACCCTTATGCAGTCTTTCTTTGAGTGCTCTTTCTGTTTATCTTCACATTGTACTTAGCACTAGGCTTCTCATTCATGGATTTTCATATAGGGATGAGTGGGGGTGGGGTTGGGAGAGCGGGTTATCTTCTTTACACATATATTTCTTCTCTGCTGCTTATTTTTTTTTTTATTTTATTTTTTTTTTTAATGCTGCTGCCTGAGTGTGCTGAAGAAAGTAAGCACTTCTCTTGGCAAATCCCAGCTCTGAAACCTATTTCAGCAAGGATTTATGATATCATTGTTTACTTTGTTGAAATTTCAATTTCCCATCCCTCTTCCCCTCACTTGTTCTGGAGAATTATTGCCAATTCTCCCAGTTTTGCATAGCATTTGTATCATCCCTCTTATCTTTGTTGTCCAGATTTACTATTTGGATCTTTCTGTCATCTTTCCCCTAAAAAGGGGGCAAACTTTTTCTGTAAAGGGCCAGATGGTAAATATTTTTGGCTTTGTGGGCCAGATGGTCTCTTTCCCAGGTGCTCAGCTCTGCCACTGAAGGGCCAAAGCAGCCTTAGACAGTAGAGGACAGGTGAGGCTAGGTTGGGCCTGCAGTCTGTAATGTGCTGGCTCCTGCCCAGATAACATTTTAAATAGTACTTCATCATGCCGGAAAAGTCTCCTATCTGAATTTTCTTCTGCAGTGAAAGCCTTCTGATTCTAGAGTTAAAAGTGTCAGTGGTGCCCTGGTTTCCTTTACAAAGTGTTGCATTCATTAGGAAGTATATTTCAGATTTCTTCTGATTTCATTGCATGTTGTGTGTGAATCAGCAGAACGGTGAGGCTTGATGAGTCGTGGGCTCTAACACACCTCAGTTGTATATTCTGGGAGACTGGACACTCCCAGGTAACTAGGTTTCCACCCCATGTTGACAAGTCACTAGTCCCCACATCCTGCTGTGCTTATGCTCCTGCATGTTATTCTAGATAACATTTATTGACTGTGTACTGTGAGCCAGACACCATGCCAGGTGCTTTATGTGCATTAGATTGTATAAGCCTTATAAGTATACCTTAAGGTAGCTACAATGTTACCTCTATTTCACAGATGAGGAAACAGAATTTGGGAGATTAAGGACTGCCTGTGGTCACATTGCTAGTAAGTGGCAGAGCTAGACTAGAACGTAGCTTTGTCTGACTCCAAGGCCCTTGTGCTAAAAATACATGCATACGTAAACCCACCCATCATCCATCCACCCACCCATCTCTCCATCCAGATTTCAATTATCTGTGCTAGAAGCCATGGAATCACTATTTTCTTTTCCCCCCAGTTTCTGTTAGTTTTCTTTAGCCAGCCTAAGATCTCTCAATACCTCTGAATGTCTTCCTTTTTGGATTATTTCTTCTATCTTTTCTAGAATACAAAACTGTGTTTTCCTTCCTTATAACTTGGTGTACAAAGAGGGATATCATAAGCTCTTGCATTTGCAGAGACTTAACATTTGTAGCACATATTCTTCAGGTAGGAAGAAGACAACACAGCACACAGTCTGCGGACGAATGCTACAGTATCCTGTGTAAATGATGTGAGGTACAGTTGTTTTTAGCTTCCATAGAAGGATGCCTCCTGGAAATTTCTAAGGCAAGCTAATTATTTCCTTTGCCTTTTCACCACTCTGTATTGTATTTAATTAATCAGCACCCTCTATTAATCTTTACAGATGTTATTGCTAGTGCTAACTGGTCCAGTCCAAGCTAAGCCTGGCTTACTCCACCAGACACAGGGACCCTTGAGCTGAATGTTCCAAACTTTTGGAGCAAGAATGTTGTTTTTATGATTTCATATTAGAGGTCTTCCAATTTCTCTGTGAAAATATAGTACATTGTATTCTACAGGACATATCACAGTATATAATTTGTATAGTCCAAAAGCCATATAACTATGGTAGTATACTGGAAGGCATGCCAAGCTTAGTGACATCCTCCTCTGTGATGTAAGGTTTAAGTTAAAAAAAAAAATAAAATGAATTCTAGACTTCCTGTTAGTCATTTTTGGATTTCAGTATTGAATACTGAAAATGTGTGTTATTTTTTATTTAATTAGGAGCCATATATTGAAGACAATGTCTGGAAGCTTCTACTTTGTAATTGTTGGCCACCATGATAATCCTGTTTTTGAAATGGAGTTTTTGCCAGCTGGGAAAGTGGAATCCAAAGTGCGTATGGAAACTTAAATTCCATAAGAATTTTTATGCCGTTGTAATGATATGGTATAATATGATTTTAGAACTGGAAGAGATCTGGACAGATCAGGTGACTGAAATCCACCACAATTAAATGAGGCTCGCTCTGGAGTCCCACAGACTCATAGAAGCCAGCCAGGGAATGTCCTTGGAGTTGTTTATTCATCCTTTAATTTAGTACACACTTTCTTCACACGGACAGGCATGATGCTCTGGGTCTCTTTCTCGTGACATTCAGTTCACTGTGCCACCCACTGTGAAAGCACATAGAAGCAGAGTCTACCTGTAGTGGGTCTGGAAGAACAGTCATTGCTGCATTGAAATGCCGTGAAAGTCTATTCTGTTTCACTGAATCACATTTTTCGTCATACGTAGTAGATCAATTTATACTTGTGAGGGTTAAAAGAGACCCTTACTTCCATGTCCTTCTGCTGCAAATGGGTATATAACACCTTGTCCTGAGTTGCCTTCTAGAACATTTCCTGGCTGGGTGATGACTGTGTGCTGTCCTCCCCAGTGAGGCCTTGGCTATGTGCAGGAAACTCGAAAGCAGCACCAGAGGTGATGCCATACAACTTTCTTGTTGCCAAGAATGGTTCCAGAAAAACAAGCTTGGTTTAAGAACATGTTGCCATTCAGAGTAAACAGAGCCATAGAGTCTTTAGATGAGAATAGCCTGGTTCCCTCCATCTTTTTGTACTAGTCTTTGTTCCTAATAAATTGCTGACAAGGGTGCTGTGTTTTTCCCGACTCCAAAAATAGGCTGTAATGTCCGTTAAGACAAGGAATTGATTTTTAAAACAATTGTAATGCATAATGTTCAGTGTATGATACTCTTCAACTATTCAGATCTTGCCACCAAAATAAGATAGAAATTTAAGGTATCTACCAGGTGGTGTTACTACACTATTTTTCCACATTGTTATGATAACATTGCTCATTAAAACTTTGTTTTGAGGTATCTCTGTAGCAATAGTTGCTTTGTGGGATATGGCTACTTAAATATAGTTTCTGTGCACTCCAATGGCCTTGTGGTGGGCAAAGCAGCATATAAAAATAGCATATTTGCTCCTAATCACTGAAGATTTATCGTCAGTGTAAAGGAAAACGTTACTGTGAGCCAGACACAAAATACATCCATTTCTCTAAGGAGTTAGTTAGCTTTGCCATGGCAACGTAAGTGAAGTAAACAGTGTAGCTGTGTGAGGGATTCCAGGGCAACTGGCAGCCTTCCTCCAGACCACTCATGGGAACAACCTCCTAGTTTTCTGTGGCTGTTGTAACAAAGTACCAAAACCTGAGTGGCTGAGAACAACAGAAATTTGTCTCACAGACCTGGTGGCCATAGGTCTGAAATCAATGTGTTGGCAGGGCCACGCTCCTCTGAAGGTGCTGGGGAAGGATTTGTTCCAGGCCTCTCTCCTAGCTCCGGGATGTTCCTTGGCTTATGAAAGCAGAATTCCAATTTTTACATGGTATTCTCCCTGTGTGTCTGTCTCCAAATCTCCCCTTTTTATAAATACACCAGTCATGCTAGATTAGAGGCCCAGCTTACTCCAGGATAACCTCATCTTAAGTAACCACATCTGCAGTGACCCTTTTTCCATTCTGAGGAACTGGGGCGTAGGACTTCAACATATGAATTTTGGGGAGGACATAATTCAACATAACAGAAGTATTCTTTGACAAATGAATTTTGTGAGAAAGAATTCCACAGGAGTTAAGTCTGCATTCCAAGTTGTGAATTTCCTTTCTACATTATGGTGGGACAGTCCCACTTTTTCTCCAGTTAAGCCATTTCAGTCCACAAAAAGGACACTCCCAGGTCTGACAGGACCATCTCCTGCTCTTAACATAGGTGACTGCTCACAGCTGGGGCTGAAACCTCCTCAGTTGTCTCTACTGCTTACTTGGCACTATCTGTGCAGGAAGCCCAGACCTCCCTGCTTCCTCGTGACCTTGAGGCCTGGTGCAAACGATTGTCCTTCACTGCCTCTTTAGCCCTGGCCTGCCCAAAGTGCTCTCCTTTTTTTTTTTTTTTAAAAAGATGACCGGTAAGGGGATCTTAACCCTTGACTTGGTGTTGTCAGCACCACGCTCACCCAGTGAGCAAACCGGCCATCCCTATATGGGATCCGAACCCGTGGCCTTGGTGTTATCAGCACCGCACTCTCCCAAGTGAGCCACAGGCCGGCCCCCAAAGTGCTCTCCTTGATCTGCATGCACTTACACATATTTTTTCATGTCTTTTACTCTAATAAGATGTGAGCTTCTTAAAAGCAGGATCTACCTTTTTTTTTTGTCTGCTTAAATATATTCTTTTTTCACGTGCCTAAGTGGTTGCAAAATGGTCACAGCATCTTGCAACATTTAAAAAATAATTTTCTCTATAGTTTCTTGAACACATTACATTTATTAAGTAATTGGCTATTCTTTTTGTTGACTTTTAGATATCAAATTTTAAAAATACAGTATATAAAAACATAGAAGATGTATGTCTCATGACAATAACAGATGAAGTAAAAGCAGACTTTTATGTTTCTTCCCCAAAAGAAAACCATATATAGAATTTACAGAGTGAAGTGTCAGCATTCTTGATGCCATATGGAAATGGTTATCTGTCGCTGCTCTCCGTCTTCCAGGACGATCATCGTCATCTGAACCAGTTCATAGCTCATGCTGCTCTTGACCTAGTAGATGAGAACATGTGGCTGTCAAACAACATGTACTTGAAAACTGTGGACAAGTTCAACGAGTGGTTTGTGTCAGCATTTGTCACTGCAGGACATATCCTTATGTTTTTAGTAGATACCTAACTAAAGGTTGGTTTAACAGACTAGAAGAACATGGAACATAGATGCCAGGCTCTGAGTCTGTAGACTTCATAGAGTATGAAGCTACTTTTGTTGAACAGATAATTTAAAACTAAGTCTCGTATATAAAACCAAGATTTATCTGAACCATATTGAGGATGATTGTACTTAATTTTATAGTTATTTTCTAACTTTAGATTATGTTCTCTTTAAGATAAAACTATACTGATTTTAAACCCAGTTTATGTATTCAGCTTTTCCATTGCAAAATATACTGTATGTGGCTAATTTGAAGAATATTATATCAAGTGACTGCTTTTCATTTTTCATTTCTACAAAAGATTATGCCTTAATTACTCCACATATGAGGTTTATTATGCTTCATGACATAAGACAAGAAGATGGAATAAAGAACTTCTTTACTGATGTCTATGATTTATATATAAAGGTATGGTATATTCTATAATTCTTAAAATCTGATTATGAAAAGGATAACATCAACAGGAAACTGGCCTATTGAAGTAACTCCCTTATGCTGTACAGTTTTCATTTCAGACTAACTTTTCCCTAATCAGGACTATCTCTGGAAACTCCTTCAGCAGGCCACTCTTCACCACCAAGTTAATATGTACAAGAGTACTTCAAAAAGTTCATGGAGGGATTCATATTATTTTTTAATTCCATTTTGCACAAACATTTTGAAGTACCCTCATATTTAGGAAAACAACTCATGGTAGTTATTTTTAATTGATTGTGACGGTAAATTGGTTTCATTCTTCCCCTTTTGGTGCATATAGTTGATTTTATTAGGAACCCTAAAAAGATAAAGGAAGCAGCCTACATAAAGGAAAATTGCTTTGTAATTTAATCTTATGTTTTCCATCTACTTTACAAATAAGTTGCAATGCAATGAATATAGATTATAAACTGGCAAGAAGTAGTTCTTATATTATCAAATAGTCATTCAAGGACAGTGGTGCTACCTGCATTTCTTGATATTGAATTGAAAAATAAAATCGTAGGGCCGGCCCGGTGGCACACTGGAGAGTGCGCCGCTTGGGAGTGTGGCGGCGCTCCCGCCGAGGGTTCGGATCCCATGTGGAGACCGGTTCCCGCTCACTGGCTGAGCGTGGTGCGGGTGCAACACCGAGGGTTGCAATCCCGTTTCCGGTCCCCGGTACGGGTGCGACACCGAGGGTTGCGATCCCGTTACCGGTCAGTAAAAAAGACAAAAAGGAAAATAAATAAATAAATAAATAAAATAAAATCGTAATAGGACGTCATGGTTAAACTGCAGTGCTAACAATAGTGTATTCTTAATAATTTAAATGTGTTCTGTATTTGGACAGGATTTCTTGCATATCAGCACAGTAATAAAATTTAACAATCAATATTCCTAGTCAGAGGTAGCAAGAATATTAAGCACTTTTATAAAGATGGACAGTATCAAGTTATTAAGGTGTAAAAATCAGTAACTCCTTTTCTCCTTAGTGATTCCCCTTTAATATGAGTAATTTTCACTCACGTATGTTATGATACACTTATTACTTTAGCTGAGAAACTGATCATTTAGCCTTGTGTTACAGGAGGGTATTAAAAATGTGATTGTTAGAAAAAAGTTACCTCAAAGGATACCTTTTTTTTTTTTTTGGTAGCTGGCTGGTACGGGGATCTAAACCTGTCATCTTGGGGTTATAAGGCTACACTCTAACCAACTGAGCTAACCAGCCAGCCCAAGAGTACCTTTTAATAGCAGTATGGTGTGACTTTTTTTTTTTAACTCTGAGCTTATGGCAGATTTTTTCACTTGTTTTATGTAGCCAAAGGGACTTAAAGATGAATCCATATATTTATAATAATACGAGTAGATTAATATTTTACACAAAGGATGACTCCTGAAAGTTAATTTAGCTTTATATAGGCAACACACACCATACTACCATTAATTTTGCCATAGGTACTTCTCAAAACTAAAACACAAAAACAAAAATTTCCTAAAGGGGACACTAGTCTTTAACAATGGAGTGTTTTCAATGAAACTTAAAAATGTGGTCTTCAGACTTTGTATTGAATTTCGTTGTTTTTAATTTAAAACTCAAATAATTTCCATTTAGAGACCTATGATTTGTCAGCGTTTTTGCTTTGCCAAGCTCTCTAATACCTTCTTCTTTCCTAGTTTGCAATGAATCCATTTTATGAACCCGATTCTCCTATTCGATCAAGCGCATTTGACAGAAAAGTTCAGTTTCTTGGGAAGAAACACCTTTTAAGCTGAATGCAGAAAAATTCCGAAATAAAGTGTCACCACAGTGGGGTATACTCAGGAATGTGTTCATTGTAAGTAACATGATTAAATAGCCTGGAAAACTTTTTTATTTGTGGTCTCAATTTATCTAAACCTAATGAAATTCCTTTTATATTTAAAAGTGGTAGGGGCCGGCCCGGTGGCGCACTGCTACAGTGCACCGCTTGGGAGCGTGGCGGCGCTCCCGCCGAGGGTTCGGATCCCACGTACAGACCGGTTCCCGCTCACTGGCTGAGCGAGGTGCGGGAGCAACACCGAGGGTCGCGATCCCGTTGCCGGTCCCGGTCCGGTGCGGGCACGACACTGAGGGTGCGATCAGTTGCCGGTCACGAAAAAAGACAAAAAGGAAAAAAAAAAAGTGGTACATTCCGTTTCATGTTGCTTAACAACAGATCAGTATTTGCCTGTGAACAGTTTTATTTATAAAAAGTTCTTTATCAGTAATCTTGAAATATTTTTATTTAAAAAGTTGAGAATTAGGCCTTCCATTTTCCTAATTCAGATAGCTTGCTCTTGATATAACAATCTAGAATCAAATGTCGTAGTCAAGATTTGGTAACACATATAAAACTAAAGGATTCTGCAGTAGGGAATGAAATTGGTAGCACATACATTGCCTATTTATACATTTAGAGATGTTGTTATAAAAATTTAGGTTCCTCAAACAATTACAGATACATCTACCATATGACCCAGCTATTCCACTGCTGGAAATATACCAAGGGGAATGGAAATCATCATGTCGAAAGGATACCTGTACTCCCATGTTTATTGCAGCACTATTTATAATAGCTAAGAGTTGGAACCAGCCCAAATGTCCATCATCAGATGAGTGGATAAGGAAACTGCGGTATATCTACACAATGGAATACTACTCTGCTATAAAAAAGAATGAAATACTACCATTTGCAGCAACATGGATGGACTTAGAGAAAATTATATTAAGTGTAATAAGCCAGGCACAGAAAGAGAAATACCACATGTTCTCACTTATTTGTGGGAGCCAAAAATAAATAAATATATAAACAAACGGGGGGGGGGGCAGGGAAGAAGACAACAATTCCTTCAACTTGTTAATAAGACAAGTGAACAGATATGATGATGGAGGAGAGGGAAGGGGGCAAAGAGGAATTGGTAAAGGGACACAAAAATCAACTACATTGTATATTGATAAATTAAAATTTAAAAAAAATTTATAGGCATTATACACAGCACTACCCGAGAAGCCAAAGAAAAACAGCTTTTGCAGTGCTAAATGTCATATGCCTGCTTCTGTCAGAGGATGAGAACAGTGATCCTGCCATAATTCAAGAATCCTGGATCCATGTTTGTAAAATGAGACTGGGACTAAAGTTATGGGCCACAGTGAAATGTGTTGCTTCTGTCACCTTATGTTCTTATATTTCCTTTCCCTCAGACAGTAAGCTAAGGATTAAGTGAACCTCCAGTACCTCAGAATGGGACTATATTTGGAGACAGGGCCTTTAAGAGGGGATTAGGTTAAAATTAAGCCATTACGATGGGCTGTAATCTGACTGTCCTCATAAGAAGGATTTGGACATGCACAGAGGAAAGACCTTGAGGACATGGTGAGAAGGTGGCTATCTGTGAGCCAAGGAGAGGTCTCAGAAGAAACCAAACCTGCTGACACCTTGATCTTGGACTTGCAGTCTCCAGAACTATAAGGAAAAAAATTTTTCTATTGTTTAAGCCACTCAGTCTGTATTTTGTTACAGAAGCCCTAGCAAACTAATACAGTATGCTTTCCTTATATACTACATATCTAGATGAATACACAAGAAACTGATACATGGCTGTTTTCAAGGACAAGAACTGGGTGGCTAGGGTAGAGATATTTGTCCCTTGTACCTTATAATTTCAAACCAAGTGACTATTCAAAAAGTTAACTAGAAAATAAAAATTTTCCTAATACCCCTTGTTGATCAAGGTGTGGGAAACTGGCACTTTCATATATACTACTGCTAGATCAATTTACACAGAGAATGGTTTGAATAAATAGCTAGACATCTATATGGCTAATAAATGAGGAAGGTCTACTATAGTAGACATATGTCCAGATATATAAAGAGAAAAGAGCAAGTTACGACAGTGGGTACACTTTTGATTTAAAAAAACAAAAGTCCAGTGATGTCGAGCATTTCTTCATGTATCTGTTGGCCATTTGTATGTCTTCCTTTGAAAAATGTCTATTCAGCTCCTTTGCCCATTTTTTGATTGGGTTATTTGTTTTTTTTACTGTATAATTGCTTGAGTTCTATGTATATTCTGGATATTAATCCCTTGTCAGATGCATAGTTAGCAAAAATTTCCTCCCACTCTGAAGGTTGTCCTTTCACTCTCTTGATTGTTTCCTTTGCTGTGCAGAAGCTTTTTATTTTGATATAGTCCCATTTGTTTTTCTTTTTTGCTGCTTGTGCTTTTGGGCTCATGTTCATAAAGCCTGTGTGCAGACTTAATTGCTGAAGTGTTTCACCTATATTTTCCCTTAGTAATTTTACAGTTTCAGGTCTTATACTTAAGTCTTTGATCCATTTTGAGTTGATTTTAGTGTATGGTGAGAGATGCATATCTAGTTCCATTCTTCTGCATATGGATATCCAGTTTTCCCAGCACCACTTGTTGAAGAGACAGTCTTTTCCCCAATGTAGATTTCGTAATAACTTCGTATAGCATACATTATACGAAGTTATCGGATTTTTTCTGTAACCTTAAAAGGTGATCCTAGGTGTGCTTCAAAGAGAGTTGTTTTTCTTTTTTGCTGCTTGTGCTTTTGGGCTCATGTTCATAAAGCCTGTGTGCAGACTTAATTGCTGAAGTGTTTCACCTATATTTTCCCTTAGTAATTTTACAGTTTCAGGTCTTATACTTAAGTCTTTGATCCATTTTGAGTTGATTTTAGTGTATGGTGAGAGATGCATATCTAGTTCCATTCTTCTGCATATGGATATCCAGTTTTCCCAGCACCACTTGTTGAGAGGCAGTCTTTTCCCCAATGTAGATTTTTGTTGCCTTTGTCCAATATCAGATGGCTATAAGCCTGAGGGGTGATTTTTGGGTTCTCAATTCTACTCCACTGGTCTGAATGTCTACTTTTATACCAGTACCATGCTGTTTTGGCTACAGCAGCTTTGTATAATTTCAACATCACTAGTCATCAGGGAAACAAATTAAAACTACATTGAGATACCACCTCACCCCAGTTAGACTGGCTATAATCAAAAAGACAGTGAATAACAAATGCTGATGAGGGTGTAGAGAGAAGGGAACACTCCTACACTGTTGGTGGGACTGTAAATTAGTACAACCACTATGGAAAACAGTATGGAGGTTTCTCAAACAACTACAGATAGATCTTCCATGCAATCCAGCAATGCCTCTTCTGGGTATATACCCAGAGGAATGGAAATCATCATGTTGAAGGGATACCTACACTCCCATGTCCATCACAGCTCTGTTTACAATAGCCAAGATATGGAACCAACATTAAATGTCCATCGATGGATGACTAGATAAGGAAACTGGTATATACACACCATGGAATACTACTATGCCATAAAAATGAAATACTCCCATTTGCAACAACATAGATGAACCTGGAGAAACTTATGTTGAGTGAAATAAGCAAAGCACAGAGGGATAAATATCATATGTGGGAGCTGAGAAGGAAGGAAGGACAAACAGACCGCAGTAGTGCATTGGTCTTGCAGAAGGAGAGAACATTCCTTGGGCTACAAAGTGGAGTGGGGAAGAAGGAGGAGGGGGAGGGAGGTTGGGGATAATTGGGTGGGGGACACAGGGTACAAATGCAATTTCTGGCAATGGGTATGCTGCCAGTATGAATCTGGCCCTCATGGGCACAAGGGGTGACAATTAGCTTTGTATTTCATGAATATTCATAATAAAAAAAATTACTAAACAAACAAACAAAAAAAAAACTAAGTCCCTGCCCCAAATTTAAAATGTTCCTGTATGGCAAAATTGTCCCTTATGTTAGTAAATAAGACTTTCTAAAGCTTAACTGTAGTAAGTTTTTTCAGTGGTTCCCAATGGGTGGGGCCAGGGAAATAAATCTATCAATCTAGTTGTTCAAACTCTGCCCTCTCTGAATGACAACCAGCTCCCCCTAACCCCCAATGTCCTTTGAAAACCCCACCATGCCACAGTCAAGGGGGCTCTGTCCACACTAACTGCAGTCTAGGCTTTGGTTTGCCTCTGTAGAATCAGATCGTTGTCAATGGCACAGCATATGAACTTGACCTGCGAGAGACCACAATTTGCTTTATCAAGTCTCGTCACTGAAGCATGTCCTTTTTTTAGAACAAAAAATGTTGAGAGCAAATCACTGAACAGTTTCAGTAATATAGAAGATACTAAATAACGACCTGATTAAATAAAGATGTCTTCATTTACCATCTTACAAAGTACAATCCTTCTTAGTATTTCCTTGAAGAAAGAGAGAGTTAGCTTCTGTGTTGGGGAGGTGGGTGTGGGGAATGGATGTGTGGCACACAAATGACAGGTAATTACTAGTGAGATCAATTCTAATTATATGAAGAATGAAAACAGGAATAGTTAAATCATTTTGAAGAGAATGTGAAGAAGTAAATCACATAACAATGTATTCCAGATGCATTAGATTTTAATCTTTAATATCTAACATTATTGCTTTAGGAAATTTTTTCCCTGAATCAAGAATAGAATGCTAATTACATAAAAATATACACATAAAAAGTAGTTCTCCATTTTCCCGGGAAAAAAACCAATCCAAGTATACCTTCTAGAATAGTCAAGTTTTTTGTTTTAATTATGATTAAAGTCTTGTTTGTCTCATTTATTAGCTGTGTAACTTACATATTTAAAGAAACATTAGACAGCCGTTACAATTTGTAAATGTAAGGTGCCATTACTAAGTAAATAATGATTCCTCTGTGAGTGGATGTGTCCCTTCTCCCACCAACTAATGAAGCAACAATATAGTTTAATTTTATTAGTAGATGATACACTGCTTCAACGCTAATTCTCTTATCCACCCCACCCTAGGGTTTACTTTGTGTATATGTGTGAGTTGATTAGAATGCTATGATAATCTCTTTAACAATCAACAGCAAGATGAGCTAGGCTTGGGCTTTCGGTGAAGATTGACCGTGTCTGTATGAATCAAGTGATCTGACCTATCCTCGGTAGCAAGAACTCTTCGAACTGCTTCCTCAAAGGCTGCTGCGACATTTGTGGCATCTTTTGCACTTGTTTCAAAGTAAGGATGGTCGCCGTTGTCCCTGCACCAGGCTTGGGCTTCTTCTGTAGACACTTGCCGTTCGCTTATGTCAATCTTGTTACCCAAAATTACAAAAGGAAAGCTTTCGGGCTCTTTCACATCTGCATAATATATGAATTCTTTCTTCCAGTTACTCAAATTCTGGAAGCTTTGTGAATCATCAACACTAAAAGTAAGCAGGCAACAGTCAGAACCTCTGTAAAATGGCGTCCTGAGGCTTCGGAATCGCTCTTGACCAGCTGTGTCCCAAATCTGCATGGTAACAAAATGTCCATCCACCTCCAAATCTTTATTTAAAAATTCTACACCTATTGTATGGAAGAGCTGGGTATCAAACTTATTAGTTACGTATCTGTTCATAAGAGAACTCTTCCCAACTCCACCATCTCCAAGGAGAATGACTTTAAAAAGTGATGATTTTCCTGCCATTATTAATCTTGTGAGCTTTGACTTCAGAAACCTGTAAATTAAAAAAGGTACCATTACATTTCTTTATACCTGTACATTCCTCTACGTGATTCTATGAATATCATCATTTAAGTGAAATAAAACATATGGCCCCAATTCATTTTTGCAAAGGGAATAACTAATAACAAGCGTTGTCATTTACTGAACACTTACCACATGACAGCCACTATCCTACCACTCATTATTCCCTAAAACAGCTGGTAAGGGCTCACTCTTCCCATTTCTCAGGTCATAATTCACTGTGAAGTTGGCACTCAAGCCCAAGTCTGACCCCAAAGAGCTTGCTCTGAACCCTCACTCTATGATAAGCCCCTCTCTGTTCACAATAAGCCCCGCCACCATTTGTTAAAGACATGGTTAGAAACCAAAGTCCACAAGTTTCTTGAACAATTTCGCACAGCCCTTCAGTGCATGGTGACGGTGTTCACTGATGGCTTTCCTCGTGCCAGGGATTTTCTCTACTACTCCTGCTTCCCACCCCCACCCCCCTCCCCCCCC